GAGAGAGAGAGAGAGTCCATTACTGAGAGGCACAAAACTTACTAAAACTCGACGCCACACTTCCTGAGTTTTCCGGAGGCCGTAATTCACACGGCCTTGCAGGAATTCATCCCTTTCCGGGCGACCAAACCTCCCAAAACTCACTGAAATGTCGAGATTCTCGCCTTCTCCGCCTTGCAAGATCCACACCCACAAATAAACCAGCCGGGAAAAATCCTAGAAACTCACCGAAATCTTCCGAAATTCATGGATTTCTCGGCCTTCGACGTCCTATCTCTCTCCCCTCAAGGGGCCTGCTGTCCTTTTTCGAAGCTCTCCGCCCTTTTAAATATGATCACGAGAAGAAAATTACAAATTCTACCGCAGTTTTAATTACAAAAATTTAAAGATTATATGTAACGTATATTTATACGTATTGGTATAAATATACGTAGTTTTTAACCACGGTTTAAGCGGAGTTAAAAGCGGATCCAGTTCTTTGACCCGAGGTGGGTTAAGCGATATTCCATCCTTGTTCGGACGTAATTGCCCATGGCGTTTTTATTAAAGACATTTGGAAACAAATGGAAGTGTGAGTACACGTGGGGAGACCATGGTGAGGTAAGTGTATCTGAATTACCATCGGACCAGCGTTTAGAGAACCGGATCAGCAGCGGGTGACCCGACCATCCGGAAATCAAGCCTGGATTAGTGAATGGTCGATCTAGGTCTGTGGATCAGACTATTCTATTTTGTGAGAATTGGTCTAAAAAATAAACTAAAGAAAAATTGAAAAATAAAAATGATAAAAATATTATATTTGGGAATGGGACTATGTTCCTTGACAGAATTGTCACCCTCTCTTATGCAAGCGGGTGATTCCAAGGGAACTTGATCCGTTGCAGTTCTGAAAAGATAACCTGATCGATCTCCACAAGATAATTGCCATTTTTAAAAATAATTTTTTGGATCCCACGTTTTTTCTATTAATTATCACCATTCTTAAAACTCATGGCCACAAAATAAAGATGAAATAAATTCACGAGATGATGGTTCTAGGCTTTTTAGTTAGAAAATAGGTTTCTCAAATATATACTATAGAAAATGCACACTTAGAAAATCCACTGGGGGAATGTTGCTGCGCTTGAAAACTCCAATTGATCATCTTGACCTCGAGATTAATAGATTAAAAAAAAACAAAAGAATTTCGCATCTTCTAACACATTATCTAAATTGTCATATTTTAAGTTTGGTAAATTGTTTCATGTGGACAACCTGTTTGCCCATATAAAATCTCCACCGTCCAATTTGATTGAATGGTGGAGATTGTAGGGCGTAGCCCGCACAAAAAATGTGTCTTTTTTGTTAGTAGTGAAAGCAATTTTTCAAGCCATTGTAACCGCTTCTGACAACAAAACTACATCATTTTCCAAGAGGGTTTGAAGGTGTGTGAGTAGGGGTGGAAACATTTCGGGAAAACCTAACCAATTTGAGTATAGACCTAGAAAATGTACCCAACAAGTCGGGGCCCGACCAATTCAAGTCCGGGGCCTGCCCAACTTGGACCTTATCGGGTCATGTCTGGGTCGAGATAGACTTGCACCTACTCAATATTTATTATACCATATGTAACATTATTTTTATGATATTTTGTTTCTTGACCCTGGTCCGACTTGACCTAGTAGTCATGTATGGATATAATTGGCTTCGAGCCAACCCCAGTCCGGGTCAGGTCTATGTCTGACTCAGTGCTGTCAGATTCGTTTTGGAATCTTCTTTAGTTTGGTGAGAAAAAGAAGCAATTCCCTTATTCGGTTTGACTAGAAAAAAAACCAATTTGGTGTTTCGGTATATTCGAGGGGAAGATTTCAAAATTTTAAAAAATTTATTATAAATAAATTAGATATATATAATAAAAAAATCAACGAAAAATAATTTTAAATAGATATTTGTTTGCTTCAATTGAAGAGGCTGAAGCTTCAGTCGGATCGACCAAAGCTAACCGAAAAAGTAATACTAGGCTTCACTTCGTTTTAGTTTTGACCTAAAATCTAAGGACTCACGCGAAGTGAAGCGAATCCGATTACACTGTTATATCCTAAACCCAAGTGAATCGAATCTGATAACACTGCTATATCCTAAACCTAGTAAGGAATCCCTTCCCCTGAAATGCCTTTTTAGAACTACACCCGTAGTTAGACCTTAGGGTGCAAAATCTCTTCAAACAAAAGAACGAGGGCAATTTCGTCTTTTTAAGTATATTAACCAGCGGTGTGTTGTCTTAGCACATGAGGCCTTTTGACTGTTCTAAAATCGAGAGGCCTCCTGCAGAAAGCTCTCGACGGAGAGCGCACGTGATTTTTATTTTCTCTCAAAAAGACGAAAATATCCCTGATATTTTGCGTTACCGAAAAAATCTTCATTGGTTCCAAAAAGACCAAATGCCCAAGTTGTTCATAATCCCGAAAATACCCCCTCGAGTTTGCCTAATGCGGACGAACAAAAAGCGAGAAACCACGGTGGGTTTAAAAATGGCAAATAAAGTGAAGGGGTCTTGAAAAGTTTCCTAATTTTCCCCTCTTTCTCTCTACATCTAAGTTGAGACGTGTTTCTCACTCTAAAACAAACAAAATTCTCTCTACATCTAAGTTGAGACGTGTTTCTCACACTAAAACAAAAAAAATTAAATTGATGGGATTTTTACCCCACATCCTGTGCTCCCGCGGGAGCATATGCTCCCTTAGCCAAAAACACCTAGTTTGGTTTTGTTTGTCTAAAACTTTAGGAACCACCTGAATACCTAGATGATCATTTTTTAAATAAAAATTTTGGATTTAAGTTTTGTGATACTTAGATTTAGCCTTTCGATAATTGTATTTAATCTCCGAGGCATTAATTTTTCTTCTAGTACATTAAGAGTTCGTTTGGAAAAAAAAGATTTTGGATGAGAATATTCCGTTAGTTGTAGAAATTATATCCCCTAAAAAAAAATGACTATAGCGTTTATTTGGCTCGAGGGAGTAAGCGGCTAGTATGCTCTTGAGGGAGTAAGAAATGAATTTTTTTTTTGTTTTGAAGAATGCTTTGGGATGGGGCACTAAATTAAATGAGATAAGAGAGTTTTGGAGTATTAATTCAGTGGGCAACTTCCAAAAAAATAAAAATAGAAACGTACGTGGTGAAGTGTGTGACAACGTTGAGAAGCAGCGGTTAACATTCGAAAAAAGAAAAAAAATAGCGTTGAGCAGTTGTCGGCAATAAGCACAAAGTTTGGAAGCAACAAGCAGTGTTAGAAAAATCGAACCCGGCAACCGGCTAAGGGCATTGTCCCAGTAATATAGAAACCGGCCCGCTCACACGGCTAACTGGGCACATCCCGTGCAGGTTAAAAATTTTTAAAAATTAAACAATATATAAAAATGTCTTTAAAAATATGAAAAGTACGTTTAAAAACACAATTAGACAAAAGACACCCAATGGAGTCGTAACGTAGTAAAATAATTAGATTTTTAAAATTGATTTGTGCCGAGAGTATTTTGGAAATAATCTGAAAACGTATAAATAAGTATGGGTGTGGTTTGTATAGAGCCTAGGCTCTAAACAGTCGATTTAGAGCCTACCTTCAAATAGTGTCGAAAAATATTGTTTAGATATTGAAAATCTTTGTGATAGCTTTAAAATATATTTTTATATTTATTTATAAAGTTTAAAGCTTCAAAGGTAGTGTAGATCGACATATCTATGAAACTTGAAAATCTTGAAAATTGACGGTCTAAAAATACATTATAAAATATACTATTTCCAAAACTTACAATCCAATTTTTTCTCATGTCCATATATCTTGATGTCGAGAAGATAAATTTGAAGATATGTGTGCCTCAAAACAACCTCTTCTAGTGGAATTTTTGAGGTAGGCTCAAATTTGATTCTTTAGAGCCTCAGCTCTACATAAACTTTTCCCAATAAGTATTAATGGCCAAAACACATTATAATATGTGATAAACTGATAAAAATATTTAAAAACACACTACAGACAAACCTCTTATTTTTTAGCATAATATATATATTTGATGTTTTAAAATAAAGGGCCTGACCACCTAAACCTGGCAAAACTGGCTTGCCCGGTTCCAGTTCATTCTGCCGGTTCCAAATTAGAATAGCTGATTTGTTGAACACGGGCAAGGAGGAACTGTAGAGGGAGAGGGAAGGTTTATGAATGACGAAATAGAGAGGTACCAAAAATAAATAAAAAAAAAGGAAAAATTTTGAACATATTTATTATAGTTTTCGGCGAGTCGCAATGAACTCGCCCGACATGGGAATTGGGTACCCCATGGCGGGATGAATACATTTTGGTATTTTTTTTCAAAATATCATAACTGGTGTACCCTGTCTCTCCATCATGTTAGCGTTAAGACTTTTGTAAAGGTATTTATACCTTCTACACTTTCACCAATTCTTCAATGTGGGACTTGCGCTAAGTCATATTATATTGAAAATTCGTACAATATAGGTAATTATTGTACAAAACTCTTCAGTAGCATGCGAGGGGTTGCCGTGGTTCGCAGCAGTGGTTCTTATACTTGGGACGTTATTGTGCAAAATTCATTTTTTGTCTTCAAATTTTTTTTTTAAAAAAATAATACCATAAAACGATACGTTATTGTGTAAAATTCATTTTTTGCCTCAAAAACAGATTTTTAAAGATTAATATCATAAAAAAAGAAGAAGATAGGTTTTTACTTGTTGTCTTAAAAAAAAAACTAAAATTTATCTTCATAAAAAAAAAAAGAAAAAAAAGAAAGATAAATCATGAAAAAATAATAATAATATCATAAAAAAAAAAAGATTGGTTTTTACTTTTGTCTTTAAAAAAAAAACTCAAATTTATCTTCATAAAAAAAAAATAATTTAGGTTTTTACCTTTGTCTTAAAAAAAAAACTAAAATGAATAAAATAATATGATAACAGAAATAAAGAAAATAAAAAACAATACAACAAGCAAAAACAAAAAAAAAAGTAATATAACATCTTCTTTTTTTTCTTGTCAAAAAAAAAACAACGTAATGCAACAAATATCATAATTTCTAGTAAAAAATTAATACAACAAGTATTTATTGTCAAAAAAATATAAGATATTTCTTAATCCAACAAATATTTTTTAATACAAACTAAGAATAACTGATCTAATTATAATTCTTATTTTTATAATATGGTAAGCTTTAATATAAATTTAGGAATATTAATTTTAAGATATGATTCATACACATTTTAAATATTTGTCAGTCTCTAACAATCTCTTCCATTAAATTTATTCTAGAATTCTAAAAAAT